AACAAAGCAGTGAGGACAGAGACGGGTGCGGGCGGGCCGGGGAGGTGAAGTCCAGCTGACCCACAGGTTTCTGGCTCAGGAGCTGCAGGGCATTGGGCCAGCCACCGGGGCAGTGCGTCACCCTGAGCGAGGACTGCGCAGAGGAGGACCGCGCCCCTGGATGGGGGCCGCGCAGCAGTCGCGAGGGGCTGGAGACTGGGTGAAGTCAGGACGCGAGGGGCTGCAGTGAAGGCAGAGCGTTGGCGTCCACGGATGGCGTGAAGCCAGGCGCTCGGGGAGGGGAAGGCAAGCGCGATGGCCTGAGAGGCCTCCAGGCGAGCTGTTGCTCGGAGGCCAGCGCCCCAGCGGGCGGTCAGAGCAGGGCGAAGCGCTGAGCCCCCGGGGCTTGAGGCCAGAGTCCCCGGGGGCCACAGGTGCCATGGGTCCAGGGCGGAGGCCAGAAACAGAGGTGAGAGCGAGAGGAGCGGAGCGCAGACGCAGGGCAGACCCGCCCTTCTGGGCTTCCGCTGCGAGCTCAGCAAAGGCGGCCCCGCGGGGCGCGCACAGCGCAGGACCTGCGACGCGGTCACGAGGGGCTCCGGGGCGGCGGCAGCGGAGACCCACAGGCGCGGGAGCGGAGGGGCAGCGCGCGGCCCGGCGCAAGGCGCGGGAGGGGAGGAGGGCGAGAGGTCTGCAGCCCTGAGCGGCGGGGAGAGGGCCGCGCCCCCCGCGGATGCCCCTGCGCGCGCGTGTGTGCGTGCATGTGTGTGCGTGCATGTGTGTGCGTGCATGTGTGTGCGTGCATGTGTGTGCGTGCATGTGTGTGCATGTGCGCGCGTGTGCAGCACATGAGCGAGAAGGCCAGGGTGCGCTACACCACGTTCTTGAAGAAAAGGGCTTCGGTGTTCGGTGTGCTTCTGCGGGGGGCGCCGAAGCTGCTGCGGGGGATGAGGAGACCTGAGTGCGCACACCTCGCAGGACTGGCCAGGAGCCCCGACCGTGTGGGGAGACTGGTCACTCGCGAGCATCCGGCACCTTGTGTGAGGCTGGAGATGCAGCGAGGTCTGTGTGTGTGTGCGTGCGTGCGTGTGACACTGGGCCGAGAGCAGACGTCCTGGGCAGAGACGGCCGGCAGGGTGTGCCGTGGGCTCCGTCCACCGTGGGTTCGGACCACGTCCACAAAGCAGCAGGACCGGCAGGGCTGACGCGCCCCAGGAAGCTGGGAACCGTTCGCCCGCGGCCCCTGCGCTGGGCCACAGCCACGGACTTCTGTGGCTCGATCCGCAGGTGTGTGGACGGTGGAGAGTACTAGACAGCTGCCGACGCGGCTATGGCTTTGCTTCTAGCAGCCCAGCCGAGCAGGGTGAGGACGGGCCACAAGGAGATCTGGGAGTTTTCTTTATCGGTGAGGAAAGAGCACCGTTCCGAGCAGAAGACCTTCCTGGGCGCCTCCGCAGTTCCAAATAGTAAGTAGGCCCAAGAGCCTTTGAGAACTGCTGTGCCATCCGGGTCCTTCCTCACCCAACAGGGAGTTTTCAGGGGATGCTTTGCGCTCCTCCCGCGGGAGGCTAGCGCTGGCTAGCGCTCCTACAGGGGCGCTCTGTCAGGGGAGCTCTGCTTTGGGTCATGCTGGTGCGGTGCCCTGTCGCCTGCAGCCAGTGAGCACTTGTCCCTAGTGCAGCCTTTTGGATGGAAGCTGGCTGGACAGGTGCAGGCAGGGGCGGAGCCTCAGGTGTGCCGGGGTGTGGCTTTCACTTGCAGAGACCCGAGTCACGGGTGCAGGGGCAGGGGTGGAGTTAGATGCAGTGGATCAGATGAGATTTCATCTTAGCTCCAGCCATGCTGGGGGAGGTGCACCTGGCCTCCACTGGGTCCCCACTTCTTTGTCTTCACTGAAAAATGACAATGCCTGCTAGAGGCACGCTGTGAAGACAGATGCTCAGCGTGTGTGTGCGTGTATGTGTGCACATGCGTGTGCTCGTGTGTGTGTGTGTGTGTGTGTGTGTGTGTGTGTAATGCTGAAGATTGAACCCAGGGCTCCCCACATTCCAGGTAACCGCTCTGCCCCTGAGCTACATCCCCAGCCCTGAACTGTCATCCTTGCTGGGTGCCCCCCGCCCCAGTCTGCCCTTTTGTTTACCAGGGTTCATTACCTGCAGTGAATAGCAGTCTGAGAAGATCTTGACTCTTTCAAGAGAGACCACATTCACACACCTTTTAGTGTGTTCTTAGAACTGCTGGATTTTATTATTAGTTAGCATTGTTACTCTGTTTTTGTACCTTATGTATAAGTTAAATTTTATCACAGGTACATGCACGTTTTCCCTATGCACCGGGGAAGCACAGTATGTTGGGTTTGGTACTAGCTGCCCTCTCAGGCTCCCCCTCGGGCCTCAGAACTCATCACCACGGGCTTGGGGGCTACTGCAAGGGACAGATACTTCAAATGGATAGCTCTCCTCTCTCTGGCTTTTTCTTTTTTTTGTTGTTTGTTTGTTTTGTTTTTTTCTTCCAGCACCAGGAATCAAACTTGCACTTGCCAGGCAGGTGCTTTGCCACTGAGCTAAATCCCCAGCCCTTCTCTGGCTTTTTCTTTTTCAGGTAATTACTAAGACTCTGAAGCCTCCTGTGATTATTCCCAGTGATCTGACCGTTCAGTTAGAGGGTCCAGGCCCCTCGAGGGCCGGATGAGCGAGTCTCCCAACATGTGCTTCTCAAATGTCCTGCGGCAAGACACCAGCTGCAGACCCTCTGCAGAAGCACGGAGCAGAGTTCTCCAAGTTCAAGTTCATATTCTCTCACACATGTGGGTTTTACTTCTCCTACCTGTGGAATGGAGCTGAGTACTTGGCCTGCACTCGTACAGACTTTTAAAAGCTTGAACCCAGGGTCTCTGCACTGAGCTACATCCTCAAACCCCGCCCCCCATTTCTGAGATATTTGGTCTCTTCTTGGCTAATGATGGCAAAGGCACCAGGAAAAGAAACATTTTTTTTTCACAAACGAGAGAATCCCACCTCATCCCATTTTTAAGTGTAAATTATTTTCATAACGAGGTGACATCAGTTGCTGGTTGATTATTTTTTGTTAGTGGGAGAAGGCCTCAGTGGCCTTGAGGGGAGCTTGCCACCCCCTAAACAAGAGGTTCGTTTTGTATCACAGAGCACACCGAAGGGCAGTCTGGAGGCCTGCATTTCACAGGCCTTGGACCTTTTAAATTCTATTCCCATGCTGTTTTCAGGAGAACTGCTTCCTAAAGAAAACTGCTTCTTGGTCATTGCCCTGTCAGAACTGTGTACCATCTCTCCCTGTGATCCCAGCACCTTGGGATGCTGAGGCAGGAGAATAGCACGTTTGAGGCCAGCATGAGAAATTTAGCGAGAACTACCCCCCCAAAAAAATCTGTACAACCTCAGTAACACGCTGTGTTAGTCCACTTTTCCTAATAATAACTTTGTTAATGTGCAGCAAAAGGCTGAAATTTGAGCATGAGGTGTAAATGGGGAGGTGGTAGGATTAGGGAACGGCTCAGCAGCACTTGAAGGTGCTGGTACTCGATAGCCTCCCAAGGAGAATTTGCCCCCAGATAAGAAGCTGGAATAACTATGTAGGAAAGAATCACAATACACGGTCTTTTAGGTTTTTAGAACAAACGTTAAAAATTGTGTGCAGAGTGCAATGCCCGTGCACAAGTCCTCAACACAGCCCTAAAATCTCAGTTATTAAGGTAAAAGCAAAGGAGGAAGGAGGGTGGCGCTCTCCAAAGGCGGGTTAGTGGATGGCCGCCACTCGCCTGGCGTCCTGCCTGACACCACTGCCCTCCCTGTGGAGCTGAACCTTCGCTGTATATGGTTACTTCCCGCTAATCGAACAGTAGACGCCCTTACAGAGAATACGGCACGCACATCATTCCCATCAGTAATGGAAACGGCTGAGATTAGCTCCGATAGGTCTGCAGCTGTTAAACAAATCAAAAAGGCATTAAATGCAGGTTTAAATTTACCCCGCCAGCTGAGGTAGAGACATGCACTGCAGCCTGTTAAACGGACCCTTGAACTCTTATCTTAGACTCTTTTAGTGCCGGCTGTGGGCTCGAGATGGCTGCGTCTAGAACACTGCAGTCCTGATCCCGCTCTGCAGGGGGAAATGAATTGCAAGCTGCGGGGTTCTGTCGCATATTTCGAAGCAGCAGAGTGTGTGCACAGGTGGAGTGACTGGCTACACGAAGGCTGGGGGGTGCGGTGGCTTGGTGGGAGAGCCTTGCCTTGCCTGTCCAAGGCCCTGGGTTCCATCCCCAGCAGGGCAAAAACAAACAACGTTAAAAGCTCACATCCTTAATGCCTCTGCGATTCTGTTGCAATCTAGTTCTAGACAGAAAGAGCCCGAAGGCTCCACAGCGCTGTGGACTCCGATGTGGCCGCTTTGCCCCCCTGGCGGCTTCCCACACCCTTCTGCCATGGGATATGATCAGTCCCGTCATCCTCAAAAGACTCTTAGGAGCGCTCTGTCACAATTGTGGTTTCCTCTGCAATCATTAAGGGAAACTTCCCAGAACAGATGAGGGAGCAGAGAACGACCATTGTTCTGGTGTTTTTCTATGCGTTCTCCTCCTTGCCAGGAAACGCACTGAGCTATTTGGGATAAAGCGTACATTTCAAAAGACTCTGCAGCCTTGGGGACAGACAGAAAGTTCACAGAGACTCTTGTTATGGCGCTCTAACCAGCCGCCCAAAAGAATTTCAGGGCGTGTTTCGTTTGAGATAGATGGCCGTCTCTCCACGTCCCCACGTAGACCCCAAACAAGGTGCTGTCATCCTTCCACACATGCCATCCAGAGCAAAAGGGCAAACACGCGCCTTGCACACTCACACCTGTGTTTGCGTCTACCTGAAATGCAACTATGCTGAACCTCTGTCCCTGGCACAGAGCCAAGAGGAATGTGGACTCCCTGTCCTTTAAGGCACTTCACCCTGCAGGCCTGGCTGACACGGAGCCGCCGTGGGGACCCTGGGCGTACGTACCTGACGCAGAAGTACAAAACCACAGGTCCTGACTTTTTGGGGAAGTCGTGCTCCAGTACCCTTCGATCCAGCTGCAGCCAGTTTAAGTGGCCCCTGAGGAAGACAGAGACAGGTTAGGGCTGTGGGTTCGAGGCCGCGGTCCACGTGGGCAGAGTGTGCTGGGCCTTCTGCAGTGCCACCTTTCCGGTCACTGTGCACATAACACTGTACGTGAGCAGACATTTCAGAGACACCCCAAATTTGAGACAGCCTCAGCATTTGCTGACAGGGGACCGGAGGGACAGGTAGGGCTGTTGTCACACAGCTGGTTCCAGCAGCAGTGCACGGCAGGCAGTATTGCCAGATGCAGCAACAGGGATGAGACCCAAAGTGATTATGCTGAGTAAAGAAGCCAGACTGCGAAGCGTGTTCAGACTGTATTTGTGTGAAAGTCAAGAGCGCACAGGGTAATCTGCAGCGGCCCAAAGCAGGTCAGGCACCCTGGGGGGGAGGGGCAGAAGAAGGGACATTTCGGGTGCTGGGTCCGTGCACGGCCTGCCCTCTGGTGAGGGCTGAACAGGTGTAGAGAGGGAGCTAAAACTTCGCAGCTGTTTACTTTTGCACATTGTGCGTCATTTATGATTTCTTAAAGATATTTTAGAATATAAACCACAGCAATATGAGGTGAGAGGCAGGTAGAGCTCCTTCTGCATTTCTTCTCCCGCCCTCCTCTTTCTCCATGAACACGGACCTGCAACTCTGCAAAAGAATTGGATGAGCAGCAGAGGGAAGTCAGCGTCCTTCCTTCACTCCCATGGAGACTGACTCAAGTGCTCTTCCATGGAGACTGACTCAAGTGCTCTTCCACAGTTAACTATGTAAGTGCTGCTAGCATTGGGATCGTGAGCTGGGAGAACACAGATGGAGCTGATCTGGTGTGGGAGTCCAGGAAGCACTTCCTGGTGTTGAGCTGAGACTGGAAGAGTAGAGTTTACTTGGACCAGAGAAAGGAGAACCATCTTCCTGGCAGAGGGAGCAGCATGTGCAAAGGCCCTGAGATGGGAAGAAACCCAGCACCTGAGAGTTGTGTGAATAGCAGGGAGAGGTAGGGGGTAGAGAGGGCCACACTGTCCAGGCTGGAGCGAGGCAGAGCCACAGAACAGCTGTGATGGGTTCCTTCCTGCCTCAGCTCAATATCCTGGAGGACACGGGGCCTGTCATCACTTTACGACTGCACTCACACTGAGAACAACCGCCTGCATTTGCTCCAGTGAGCACGGGTGACACCAGAGCTCGGAATGTGTACGCCTGTGTGAAAGGCCGGCTCCTGCTCTGTGGGCAAGGGAAACAAATCTGTCTGTGTCGCTGGATAGACCGATTGCTTCTATCACACACTAGAGGCTCCTGCTCCCTTTCTGAACCATCCTTCAATCTACACCTTTTGGACACGAAAACAAACAAAAAGCAACAACCACAATGAAACCTCTCTTTCAGTTAAGCCCACGCCTTTGGGATGGCGACGGATCTGCCCTAGAGTAGCATCCACTGAGGGCTTTGGGACTCTTTTTCTTTTCCCTAAGAATCTCCACTTGGAAAAATACTTCCTGTTTGCTGTTTTGTTTTGTTTAATTACCTTGTTCTGAATACAGGAAGGGTAAAAAACACACACACATACAAATGTTGCTTTAAGTAAAATGACTGGGCCACTAAAGTTGAGTGAAACTAACGTTCAACTAGGGTACAGACCAGGAAACAGAAGGCCTGGGCGCTGACGGCATGGCTGGGCACAGCCCAAATGTCAGCAACGGTCCCCAGGGACCCCTCTGTGCCTCAGCTCCCTCTGCTCCCTCGGCCCAGGATGCCCCTCCTCTCCTCCTTCACCCAGCGAGTCTGGCCCATGCCTGAGGACGTGGCCTGCTGGGCTGCAGAATGGCCCTGACCCGCACTGCCCCAGGGACCCCCTCTGGGGCTGCACCCCCAGCCTGTGGGTCCCCTCTGTCTACATGTTCAATGTTCTCCGCAGTCTTCTTACATCTGAAAGTGTCTCCAAACCTGTCTCACAAGATCAAAACATGCACGCTGATCGACTGGAAGGTGTTGGACCAGTCCCGGAAGGGTAATAAGCCACAGCCACGGCCCTGCCACTGAAGAACCCACGGGCTCCCCGGGGTTCCTCTCCCTGCTGAGCCTCCTGTGGGCGCCCTCAGCCTGCTCTGTACCACCTGACTCCTGGTACTTCTCCTACTCAGAGCCCAGGACTGTCTCTCCTTCCTCTTCATCCAAATGCTCAGCCACAGGTTAAGGCTGAATTCAAGCTTTCCTTTTAGACAAAATCAAAAAAATATGCAATCATGGCTGGGGACGTCTTGGTATTAAAAGTCCTCCAAAGACTCAAGCTCTGCAGGTTTGGTCCTCAGCCTGTGGTGTGACTGGGAGATGGTGGAACTTTTAAGAGGCAAAGCCTACAGGGAGGAAGTGAGGTAATGGGGGGCGTGTCCTTGAGGGGGATGCTGGGATTCCAGCCCTTTCTGGTATTCATTTACTTCCTGGCTGCCATGGGAAGATAAGCTTTGCTCCACCATGTGTTCCTGCCATGATGGCTGGGTACCTCAGCACTGATTCAAAGCAACAGGGCCAAGCGGCCGTGGACTGAACCCTCTGAAGCCATGAACAGAAATAAACCTTTCCTCCTCTAAAGCCATGGATTCCAGATATTTTCTCACAAACAAAGAAATCTGAATAACACATTGGCTAAACTAAGGGTTCCTTCCAATCCCCTCTGGAGGTTTTGAATTGTGTCATCTACAAGGCATTTAGCCCAATCTTGTGTAATTATGTGAAAAATATGACCTGTAGCTCCAAATAAGTTCTCAGTTTTTCACAGTTTTTTTTTTTTTTAAATTCCTCAGAATATAGCATAGTGCCTGGGAAATATTAGGGGCTCTAAAAGAGAAGTATTTTCTCATGGAATAAATTACAACCTACGAGAGCAATCATTCACGATCATGCACATTTACATTTTTACCTTGGGTCTCATGAGATTTCTTAATTAAGGGTCTGACGTGAACAGCCTTTTCATGATCCCCACATGAGAAATCTTTGAATCACCCACAGACCACAATGGTACAAAAGCACAGTGACCTCTCCCTGGCAAGGTCAAAGAAGAAGGAAGACCTGAGAAACAGAATGTTCCACACGTGCTCTCAAGGTCAGTCAAAGGCCCAGGATTGAGAAATCCCCACCCAGCCTAAGGGACAACATTACTGACCGCACAGGGTGCTGGGACAAGCCTGGGCCTTTGGGGGTGTCATTCACAAGCTGAAGAACCTCAAGTGGGGACCTGCTGCCTGAAGGGACGGAGAGGCACAGCTGTCCCTTGGACACCACTCTGGTAGGTAGCTCACTGCCCAGCCTTCTTCACCCATGCTCACAGAGAGTTACTCCACTCTGTACATCAGAAATGAATTCACCGAGCTGGAAATCCCTTTGTTCCTGACTGCGTATTGGTCTTGTTTTTATCAAGCAATTGAATGATGAGAAAGTCATGTAAAAAGAAAAGTGGTGAGGAAGTAAAGGGAATAGGGGAGTAGGAGTCGCCCTAAATTAAATAGTGTGTGAGGAACAATGGGTCCCCTTTTCCCATTCTCTCTGCTTCAACTCTTCACCTTAGTTCTGTGAGGAACGGCCTGACACACACTGGCCGGGCTCTGGTATCCGTGGAGCGGGGGCTTCCTCACACACAGAGTCCATGGACTCTCGGAGGAAGCCCCCACCCCCTATTTTAAGACCCGGTAAAATCTCTCCATTGAAGGCTGCTGACAAAGGGAGAGGCCGAAGGGACAAGCAGTTCACCCAAGGCCCCTTAGGGTGAGGGCCCATTGTGCGGGCAAAAGCTAAAAGATGGGTTAGAGCATAACGTGGCCACTGATTGTGGGGCCACTCGTTTAGGCTGCAGTGAGGTTTGTTACCTACTGTCTGTGCTCATTTTATTTGGTCTGAAGTCCTGGGGATGGAACCCATGGTCTTCACACTGAGCCGCATCTCCAGCGAACCTTCCTTTTCCCTCCTTCCCTCCTCCCTCCATTCCTTCCTCCTTTCCTTCCTTCCTTCCTTCCTTCCTTCCTTCCTTCCTTCCTTCCTTCCTTCCTTCCTTCTTTCCCCCCTCTTTCTTTCTGAGAGAGTTTCACTGAGTTGCTAAGTTGCCCAGGCCAGACTCGAACTTGAGATCTTTCTGCCTCAGCCTCCCAGAGTGTTGAGATTACAGGCATGCACCACAACACCCAGCTCCCAAGCCCATTTTTTGAGGGAGATACGCAAGCATTTCCTATGTACAGCTTAACTAAGAGATGCCTGATAGCTTGGCTGTCATGAATCCCATTGATTTTCCATTTGAGAATTCACATTTGCCAATAACAAAGCCAAAAAGTAAAAATGTAGATAAATACATACACAAACAAACAAATAAATAAATAAAAGGCACTGCTGTGGACAGAGTATTTTTTTGTTATTACCTCCCTGATACCTATCTCTAAAGCTGAGGGAGATAACACTCATTGGGATTGTGGTTGCACTAAGTCAAACTTTTGGGTCAGTAATAAATATGCAGCTGCTCCCAGGCCATAGAAATCGGGTGCACTTATTTTAAAAGTTGCTTGTACCTACTACACACAGTACGAGCAGACTTTTGATTCAGGTGTTGGCACCTTCCGTAGAGGCGACCTCGGGGAAAGCTTTGTTTCGAGCTTAGTGGAGGTGGAGGTTGACAGGTCTGTCTGAACCCACCCTTCTCACGACCTGAGGGAAGGAAGGTACAGGGAACCTTTTAGACACTTTTACTGTAGATAGATTACTCCCTACAGGGTGTGCTTTCCACAGAATGCCAAAGCAAAGGTCTGACATTCTTGCTGGATGAAGGCAGGTGGGGGGTGGGGAGTTGCCTGGGGTGAGGATGGTAGATCTTTTCGTGTCCTTGATTCTGAAGTGTACTTGCTTTTTGAGGAGAGCCCAGGGACACCTGTTTAGCTAGAAAGCCTCAAACAGAACAAGGTCAAGGTAGGGCGTGTACTACGGAAACCGGGTCACTAGATCAGGAGCTATTCACTCCAACTGGAACTTCTGACTTTAATTGTTGATCTACGGAGTAACCATTTCCCCTGCTATATTGTCTTACAGCTGTTTCAAACTCTTTTTGGAACACCTCCCACACCGTGACTTACTGATTACCTCCTGAATCACAGACGCAAGCCCCCAAGGGCCAGTCCTTTCTGGATGCCCAGGGGTTAACAGGGGATGCTAAGTAAGTGACCTGTTAAGCAAATGAATGCCTCAGCTCCATGATATTCCCCACAGACCCACAGTCGTAGTTTCGGTGACTGCCCCTGGGTACAGACACTGTGCCCCCCTAACTAAAGGGTCCCACATGACGCTTCACTCTGCTCACTGGCCCAGGCCTGTGCTCCTCAACACCACGGCCACTGGGCGGGAAAAGGCAGAGAGGAGGGCGGGCCCCTAGCCCTCTGGGCGGCACCATTCTTTGTCTCAGCTATGCAGGGAGAGTTACGCGCACACCTTCCCAGACCACTAAATGCAAGATGCCCTCCCCTCTCGGGGAGCTCGGGGCCAGGTACCCCGGGGGTGAGGACAGCCCTGCAGGAGGCTGTGGCTGCTGACTTCCTCCTGCCGCCCGCTGGAGTTAATGAAGGGAAACCCCAGGCTCATCGCCCAGCACACTGTGTTCCCAGAGCTGCGGCTGCTTGTTCTTTCTTCCACAACTGGACCTAGCTTCTGTACTTCCTCATGTTCAAGTGGTAGATGAGTTTGTGGCTGGGAATGCTCGTCAGCCAGGGCCTCTGTGGACGCTGCGGCCAATGCCAGCCTGGCCCCGTTCCGGCAGACGCAAGGACAGTGCCGAACACTGTGTGCTCCCAAGAGCCGGCGCCCCAGGCACCGCGCCCGCAGATGCGCCTCCAAGTCAGGCCATGCTACCCTTAGCGCTTAGGCAAATCCAACTCTCAAACAGTGCCAATCAGGCCATTCCATAAACAGAGACATACCACGGGATGCTGAAAAAATCCTTAATGGATTACCTTGTAGGTTTCTTAAACTAGGGTCCCATTTCAGGGTGTCTGTGGCCACTAAAATGTCAGCAAAAATTTTATATGTAAACCTTTGTGGAAAGAAGGAATGTAGCATCCTAACAGATCTCAAAGTGTCACTGATGAAATAATCGGTTAAGAACTACTCATTTTCTCAACTGATATGTGCAAATGATTCCAACTGTACTCAGCTTTTTTTTTTTTGCATACAGGGTTTCACTATGTAATGCAGGCTGCCCTTGAAACCACTTATGTAGCCCAATCAGGCCTGGAACTCAAGGTGACCCTCCTGCCTCAGCCTCCTGAGTGCTGGGATTACAGGTGTGCACCACTACACCTGGCTTTATTCAGCTTTTTAAAGGTACACTAATGGCTGAGCTTTTCCTTTTACTCCTTCACATTTCTAACTATTTTTGAAGTTTTTTAAAACATGGAAGCCAGGCGTGGTGGTCCACACCTATAATCCCAGTGTAGCATACACAAAGGCTCAGGGTTCAATTCCCAGTATGACAAAAAAATGTTAAAAAATTAGAGAGAAGGAAGAGTGAGTATTAATGCTGCCAAAATGTTGATTACTAACAGCACTAAACATTCTTAGGCATAAAAGTCTTTCACTGTGGACTTTGGCACTTTATTAATGAGTATAACTTGGATGTGAGAGCTGCTAAGAGAAATTCCTAATTTCTTCTCTGCGTTTTGTTCCATTTACTTTTTCTGAGGTGTCATCTAAGTCCCCAAAACATCATCGGCAGCAAGAGTTAGTACTGGAAGAATCGCAGACCATCTCTGGCCCGAGAGTCACAGTCTCTAAAGAAGCTGTGCTCTGAGGGACAGTGACGCTGCGGCTAGTGATTCTGCATCTGTACAGCCTCTCCGGTTTACAGCACCTCCCCAGGGCTGACCGAAGGTTGCATTAGGCAGATCCATGTGGTCTATCACAGGCTGTCACAGGGATAACGTTTCTGCTGCATTTTATTATAGAGCAGAGTGTAGCATGTGCCCAAGGCAGAGCACATACACAGACCTCACGGCACAATCTGAAAACACGGTTAGGGAAAGGATGGGGATGTGGTCTAGTGATACAGTGATAACTAATGTCCTCGGTACTTTTCTCATTGCTGAGACAAAACCTCTGATGCCCAAAGTTAGGGGAGGAAAGGGTTATTTAGCTCAGCTTGTAGAGGTTTTCAGTCCATAATAGGCTGGTTCCAAAGCAGATTGGGCCTGCAGAGGGGCGACCATTCATGGCGGTGAAAGCCAGCAAAAGCAACAAGGGACCTTAACAGAGTCTTTCTGTCCCTTTCATTTCATCCAGACTACTGGGATTAGGTTGGTGCCAAACCACTCAGTGGACTAATTTATTTATCACACACCCTTAACCCCAGCACCACACACTCTACATGCAGCCAGCTTTGAAGAGCCCACCTATGACCACATGAGGCTTTAGGGGGACATCTACTCACAGCTATAACTCCTAGCAAGCGTGAGACACTGGGTTTGATTCCCAGCACTGCCTATATAAGTAAATAAATTCATTTCTCTCGCTGGATGTGGTGGTACAAGCCTGTAATCCCAGCAGCGGGGAAGCTGACACAGGGGGACCATTGTCAGGAGTTCGTAGTGAGCTCAAAGCCAATCTGAACTATATAGCGAGACTGTCTCAAAGAGCCAATGAATCCTTTCCACACAGAGGAAAGGCTGGGGACAGACTCTAAGGCCAGCGCTTTCTGACACAGGAATCAGCAGTCCAGACCACCTCATACTCACAGACCAAGTGCTGTGGGGGCGACTTTTGTTCTTTTATTTCCTGCCAGGGGCCCTGGCACTGTGTGTTGGCCCAGACACTACCAGGCATAAGGCACCATCCCTGAGTCATGGTGTCTCCCTGTGCTGCCCCTCTGGAGCGCTGACTCTTGACTTCCTCTGCGTGCCTGACACCGGCCCGCTCTCCCCCACGCATCAGGCACACCTGCCAGCTCCAGCCCCTGTCCACCGCCACTCCTGCCATTGCTGGGGAAGTCCAGCCATCCCAGTGATAGTTGTGGCCGCACGGTCTGTGGACCATGCCAGAGGATGGGTCCTTGCTCTCCGCTAACACCACGACAAGGTGGAAGCCAGCGCTTTTCTCAAGCCTGGCACACTCCCACGCACATGCACACTCACTCTTCCGGGCCAGTCCGGAGCAGCCCAGCCCTGCGTGGTTCCTCAGCTGCACGGTTATGTGGCCTGCATCTCCTCTCTGCGATGTGTGGCTTTTGTTCCCTCTCTTTCGAGGGAGAAGAGCGACTTTCTACCTTTCAGTTGATTCCTGCTGGCCAGTGTTAGTGGACGGACTTCTGCCTCTGTGGCCCAGGGTAACATACGCACTCTTTGACTCTTGTTAACTTGAAGGGGAAGTCTAATTGGGACTGATCTAGAGTTCATGGAATCTTTTTGTTGAGTAAACTTACCTGGGAAATGGGAACAATGGGACATGATTAACTGAAACGTATGGTTTCCTTCTCAGCAGTGGAAACCCTATGAAGAGCCACTGAAGGGACTCACAGTGATTCTCAAGAGAAGGGTAGAACACTTCCGCATTTGTGAAGGTAATTGTTCTAGATGTTCGGTTGCTTAAAGCATTTTGTTTGATTACTGTGCTGGCTTCCGACCCACACGAGCCTCACCTCCCATCTGACCTTACTGGGCTCCACCTGGAGGCTGGTGAGTCCTCAGACAAGAGTGACCTTCCTGCCTGCTCTCAGCCTCACGTGCCTGCAGGCCCAGGACCAGGGCTGACCTTGATCTTTCTTGAGGAGGATGTGGCTTTGCTACTGACGCCTGCTTCTAATACACCACTGCTCAAAATGCCACTGATCGAGAGGGTGACCATACGTTCCGGTTTGCCCGATGCAGCCCCAGTTCACAAGCCTTTTATTCCCAGTACCTCCACTTCAGTGACAGAGCGTATGGGCCCCCTGTCCGTTTGCAGCGCCCTGAGACCAAGTGTAGCCAACACAAGAGCACCCGATCCCCCATTTAACGGCAGCTGCTCTTGCTTTGGAACTGGTTTTGCCTCAGTGAGACCCTCAGATTCCTGAGGCCATTTGACCCTCCAACTAACCAAACTGATTGATAACCAGTTTTGAAAACCATCTCCCCACCTCCAAGGGTTTATGTATGTGTGCATAGCTAAACACAGAGCAAAGAAAATTATGGTTCAATTGCTTATTCTTCTCCAGGAATTTGGGTGGTGTTCACTGTTATCTTTTGATAATAATACACTAAGTACAAAACTGAAATTTTAGGAGATATTCCTTCCTTGCATTGCAAAACATCACTTTATAGAGCCAAACTCAAAAATCACTGAGAAGTAAATATAGTCTTCATCAGATGAGCGATCTGAATTTTTGATTTCTGTATCCTGTTTCAGCTTAGACATTGAAACTGCCCAGATATTTTTCACTATGAATTTATCATCAAATTCACTTCCTGTTATTGTTATTCCAATACGGGGGAGAACTGTTTAATTTTCCAGATGTTTTTGTTTAATTTTAATGAAAACCAAACCCATACAGATATAGTTTTAGAAAAAACATTTCAGTCTGAATATGAACCTGTTTGATTATAAGAAGGAGTTCACCTAATAATTTCACAATATTAGCATCCCCCTAATTACAGCCTTTGGCTGTTCCAGAAGCACAAGGCTTTTGAAATTTGAATGATGAACCTGGACTGACCCAGACCACAGGACCCAAGTGGCCCGCAGCTGATTCACCACTCACTCCAGAGACAGTGCAATGGCAGGCTCTGCCCTGGTCCTCCGGGTGCCCGGGTCCTGGTCGCACTTACGTCTCATCAGTGAACGCTATTCCAAAGTACTCCTTCTCCTTCAGGTTGAAGTGAGATGCCACGAGGTCAAGCAGCTCCTTGGCCAGAAGCTTGGGCTGGGGGAGAACACAAAGGGAAGAGGTTAAGTGACCAGCGCCTACTTTCCCCAAACACGCGATCTCAGGTTTCTGTCTCTTGTTCAGTGGAACGCCTTGAAGCTGCACAGAAATGCAAGTGATTTGTTTGAAACCTAAAGCAATCGACAAAGAGGAAACTGCCGAGCAAACAGGCAAGGGAAGGGCTGCAAAAAAGCGAGACTGTCTTATTTTCTAGTAATTCTTGTTCTCCCAACCACTGGTGCTTGCTGTTTGGCAGGGCTGTCAAGCCTGATGGCTTCCCTTCCTCCTATCTGATGCTGAATTGAAGGAAGATGGCTTAATTTAAAAAAATCGATATATTTAACACAAATACAGATGCGCCTGTATTTGTAATGAGACTACTTTCCAATAAACCCATGGCAAGTTGAAAATAGCATTAAGTGAAAAATGAATTAGCCTGTGGGCAGCACCGCACACTAAATCGGTGGCTCCCACTTGTAATCTAGGCTGACTGGGTGCCTCACAGCCCTGCCGCTGCCCAGGATCTCAAAGAGGACCGTGCCGCATATCACCAGCCCAGGGAGAAGACCCAAATCCAAACTTCCAAGTGGGGCTTCCACGGAATCCTAGGCTTTTGCACCACTCTGATGTCTCCAGATCCTAGGTGAGCGAAAGTGCAGGACCATCCTCATTTACTGTGTGGCAGGCACTGAGCTAAGCACTTTACAGAAACCACTATCCTCATGAGCTGGATGGAGCTCAGCGGTAGAGCACGTGCCTGACATGCACAAGGCCCTGGCTTCGATCTCCAGCACTGCAGAGGAGATTTTCCTTAGTGCTCATCACAACTCTACGTCCCCAGTGCAGGGAGGAAACCAGAGGCGTTGCCAGGATGACGCAGAGGATTCCCCTCTATGCCTCACTCCTCCCCTCATGACCTTCCATCCACCAGCAAAAACCAACTAAACTGGCAAACGTGGGGCTGACGCTGTGGCGCTGCTTCCTTCCAGAACACGGATGTCAACAGAGGGTGCCTCCTGATAAGCTCAGACCAAGGAATGCCACTCCCGTTACACCTTGAAAAACTAAAAAAGCAATCTCTGAAGCAACAGGGAGCCCAAGATTTTACATCATTCCTTAATGGAAGAAATTCTACCCCAGTGAGTAGACCACATAGCCAGTCATATGCCCGAGAACATCATCGATTCAATGGGTTACAAAGCAGGATGAAAGACGCAGGCTCTGGAAGCTTCGAGCAAATGCTGCTGGCTCCGAGCTGCTGCAGGCTCGGCTGCCAATGCCACCTCCTCCGCCCCCAGGAGGCGCCCAGCTGCCCAGCTCAAAACGTTTCCAGTATCACTTGTGACTACCAGCAGTGCGGCTCCTCGTAAAATCGCAAGGTACTGTGATTTATCTGTCCACATGACTTTCAAGTTAGTTGCAGCATTTCTATGATATTTGCTGATTCTTAAAATAATGTGCATAATCTTTGGAGTTTGTGTCAGACTTGGCACCCTCACCAGCGACTCTCCTGGCACTCGAGACAGAATTCCCTTTCTGCCAATGTCAAAAGTCAAGCCGAGTGAGTGGGAACAAAGGAGGAGTGGGTGATTGTGCTGGGTCAGCCTGGTGTTACACAATGGGGTCTGACTCTACGTAGTGATTGCGGGTTCTTGGGGCTTATAACAAGAGATCCAGCCCTGGCAGAGAAATGAACAACGAGATTTCTTTCACTCTGGGAGTTAAGTTCCATAGCCAGTATCTCAACAGATCTGATCACACATTTACCCCAGAGGAGGAGGAATTACACCCAGGATTACACGCAGGATTTAAGGTGTCCATCCCTCCTAGAAGGTGTGGAAGGAGGAGTGCGGGTGGGGTTGGAGGGGCAGGGCAGGGGCGGGGAGAAGAGCTAGGAAATGCAACCGGCCACCAAGCATTAGTGCTTGGGCCCCTTGCCCAGATGAGGTTTTTACATAGCAGAAAAGGAGCCCTAGGGCTACTTCAGCTGAATGCACTTCACTGAACTCCCCTTTCCCAATTCTGTGCCTTCCCAGGAATTCAGTGAGGTGTCACCCCATCCAGGAACAGGGCTGAGCCTCTGCATGTGACCTCCTCAGCATCTCAAGCAGAGGTCATCATTCCTTCGCCGGCGGAGATTCTGAGGCTCAGAGACACAGGCAGGCAGGCTGTCTTCAGGCCCCAGCACAGCCCGGGTCAAAGCAAGGTCCACAGACACCTGCCACAGCAGGGATGAGCCCTAGAGACATCATGGTAAGTGAAGGCAGGGCTAGACTTCATCTTCTGAAACAAATGCTTTTGCAAGGACTGTGTCAATTAGCATGGATAGCGTTAGTTAAAAAAACAAACAAGCTTAAACGTCAGTCCTGTCACTGTGTACAAGCGTTGCTATAAGTCACATACAAGGGATGATCAAAATGTACTGTGAAGGTTTAAATTCTTAAATTTATTACAGTAAAAGACACTGCCCTGGAACTCCCTCATCTTCCCCCTCACTTCAAGCGTACTTATCTTACCATTCTTGCTGCTTTCTGAAGCAGTTCTGGAAGTGCTCTTTCATGAGTGTCTTTATGAGGGGTGAAAAAATTACAACAAATACTGTTGCTGAGTGGCATCCAACAAAAGCCAGGCCTGTAAAAACACTGCAGTGTCTCTTCACCTACCCTGTTCACTGGGTCAGGCGTCATGGGATGTCTAGGTCTTTCCCAAAGTCAAGCTAACTGTGAGTGGTAAAGGTTTTGAACAGACTTATGATATCAAGGGAATATCTAAAGACATTCATGAAACAGAACGTCCAGAACTGCTGCATAAAGTGGCGAGAATGATGGGACAACTGTGTTTGTTTTTTTTTTTTATTTTAAAGAATAAAAGAAGGATAGCATAATAATAGGGGAGACTTAGCAAATTACAGACAAAATGGTAGGAAATTATCAATGGTTATCGTTTTA